TGGGTGAGCCCCAGAGGCTCCCTGGAGCTTATCGGGCTAATGTAAGTTATATTAGACCGGGACATTAGCTATGGAGTTCAGACCTACCAGGAAGCACCAGAACCTGGCCCCTTCAGAGAGGTTGCAGGAAGCAATGACCCTGGAAAAAAAACCTGTGGTTGGGGGTTTTCCTTATCTGCCATCGACCGGGGTTAGGCACCCAGAAAAAAGGAATGGCAATGGAATGTTTTAATTGTAATATAAAAACCAGCGTTGAATGTAATGAAACGCCAGTTTTTGGGTGAGCCCCAGAGGTTCCCTGGAGCTTATCGGGCTAATGTAAGTTATATATTAGACCGGGACATTAGCTATGGAGTTCAGACCTACCAGGAAGCACCAGAACCTGGCCCCTTCAGAGAGGTTGCAGGGAGCAATGACCCTGGAAAACCCCCCTGTGGTTCGGGGTTTTCCTTATCTGCCATCGACCGGTGTTAGGCACTCAGAAAGATAGGCATAACAAAACAAACCCCACATGGTAAGAAACTAACAACAAAAATCGAACAGAGGTAGAACTCCTTACAATCCCAAGGAAACAAGCTAACAAGCAAACGTAACACACTACTGCCACACCGCTCGTCCGTGCAGCCCACCCCTCCCCAAGAAAGCGAGGAAGGGGGGGGGGCCATGGATCTCACCGTGCCAGCTGCATAGCACTCCAGTTCAGAAGCTAAGCTTCTACGCAAAAAAAACTCCGACTGGTGGGAGGGTGGGTTGCTAGGGAACCTCCGGGGCTCACCCAGAAAATGGAGTTTCATTACATTCAACGCTGGTTTTCTGTGGGGAGCCCCTATGGCTCCCTGGAGCTCCATACCCAAAGAGAAGGAAAAGAAAGGGCTGACCTGGGAGGTGGTCGCCACAAACTCTGCAACGTGATGTCAAGACAACAGGCTGCAACCTGCGATCTAAAGCAACACCAGAATGCCCAGAAGCAGACATGCTCACAAAATAACGGACGGCCAGGAACCTGTACGACCTCCAAATCCTTGCACCCAAAATGAGCCCGACACACATTACCAAACACGGCAGCGAAAACTGCAAACGTCCGAAAGGCACGGGAGCAAGGATAGACCTCAGGCTGGCTAGACTTAACCCTGCGGTCGACCTGGGAGACCCGAGCCCTGGAATAGGGAACGAGGGAAATCGGATCAACCCAAAGCACATCCCCAGCAACATCCCAGAAATGGCAACAGGAGAAGAAAACCCCTGAAAGGAGGTGAAAAACTCTCCCAAAATGCTAGCTCGCACACCCAGGCACCGGTAAACAAACCGCAGCGCCGCTGGTGGTAAGCGGGGAGTTACCCGCTGAAAGAAAATGGCCACCAAACAAAAGAGCCTTGACCGACGCAATAGAGCTAAAAACACGCCAGCAAATGTGGGAAGTAAGCAGACTAGAGGAACGAAAAAATCCATCTGGAAACAGAAGACCCAGGCATTGGCAAACAGCCCCAGAACTGCTAGCGGGCAACCCCCACAGCCCCGGGAACCTGCAACTGAGGCCCCGGGGCAGAGCCGTAATCCACGCCCTCCGCCCTTAAAGAAAAGGAAGAGTCCAGGGAAAAGGCAGCAAAGAAAGGGCCGCTGGTAAGACTCAGAAGCCATGGCAGGAGGAACAGGCTCGAAAACCTCCATCCCAAACCCGAACGGGGCAGCCCCCGAAACCGCCTGAGTCTCAGCACCAACTAAACCCCGCCCCAACCCCAAAACCCGCACACAGTCAGGAGCCGAGAACAGGGAGGGGATAGGGGCGAACAGCACCTAACCAAAATGGGGCGGCCCCCCGGGGCATCCGAGTGGGAAACCAACCTAGCGTGTTGCAGCAACCTAAACCGAGCTTGCAACGCAGATGCCGTCTGTAAGGTAAGGATATCAGGAGAGTACTGGAGAACAAGCAGAGAACATAACTCGCAAGAATCCGGATCAAGGTGTCTGTGGCCCAACAGGCAGCATGACAGAGGTAAAAGTGGCGACTGTCACCCTGAGACAAGGGCACAGCAACCAATGAACTTGCACAAAACGAGATGGAACCTGGAAGACACATTCAATGGTGCACCGAGCCCCAGCAGGGTTTTCAAGGGCCCGAAGGCTGACTGCTATGGGAAGCCCAGGCAAGGTGTTGTTAACCGGTTAACACCCAAGCGAACAAGGGGTAGATGCAACAATGAAAACTCCTGCAACGTGTACATTCACTGGAGCCTAGCAGAGGGCCACCAAATACTACCAGCAGAACTATAGCCACACTAGGCAGACCCCCACCAGGCAAATGAAAATAAAAACAAAAGAAAAACCCCGCAAAAGTACACCGTCCCCAGAGGCAACAGGAACCGGTCGCTGCATAGGTAGCAGGTCGCATAACACCTTGACGCCCTAACCAGCATAATACCAGTCCCTACCCAAGTCAAACAAGGGCCCCAAGCCCCAGCTGGCCCCAAGGGAGCCGGTCGGCCGAGCGGACAGCACGCTGGACGTGTGATTCTGTGGTCCCGGGTTCGATCCGGGCGCCGGCGAGAAACAATGGGCAAAATTTCTTTCACCCTATGCCCCTGTTACCTAGCAGTAAAATAGGTACCTGGGTGTTAGTCAGCTGTCACAGGCTGCTTCCTGGGGGTGGAGGCCTGGTCGAGGACCGGGCCGCGGGGACACTAAAAGCCCCGGAATCATCTCAAGATAACCTCAAGAAGGGCGAGGCAAGTGCCGAGCAGCAAGAACCTCTATGGGAATACTTCACGAACGCCCCAGGGAAGATAACCCTGTTACACAGGGGCAGTACTCATAGGGCGTTTAGGGAAGGAAGCCCCTAAGCGCATGCAGCCTCGGTATTGATGAGGAACATCTGGCAACCGAATAACACAAAAACACAGTAGTGAGCGCCACGAAGGCAAAAACCACCTAGGAAACTGAGGCCAGAGAAGCGTCTGTCCTGGTTGACATTAGCTTACGAACTGGAGTGCTATGCAGTTGGCGCGGTGATGTCTGGGGTCCCCCTCTCCCCCCTCTCGGGGAGGGGAGGGCTGCGCAGATGAGCGGCGCAGCAGTAATGTGTTACGTTTGCTTGTTTCCTTGGGACTGTAGGGAGTTCTACCTCTCTGTTCAGTTTTTGTTGTTAGTTTCTTACCATGTGGGGTTTGTTTTGTTATGCCTACCTTTCTGGATGCCTAACCCCGGTCGATGGCAGATAAGGAAAACTCCCAACCACAGAGGGAGTTTTCCAGGGCCATTGCTCCCTGCAACCTCTCTGAAGGGGCCAGGTTCTGGCACTGGTCCCTAGTAGGTCTGAACTCCATAGCTAATGTCCCGGTCTAATATAACATACATTAGCCCAATAAGCTCCAAGGAGCCGTAGGGACTCCCCACAGAAAATACACTGCATTTTGCTACACACAGAAATCACAATTGTGTGATGCATCAAATGAACAAATCCACAAGGGCCGTGACGAGGATTCGAACCTGTGTCCGAGAGCATCCCAGACGTTGCCTTAATCGACTGAGCTACGACATGGTTAAAAGGAACTGAAACCGAAGTTCTACTGAACTTACTGGATCCTGCAGTCTCTTCGAGGCACAAACCAGGGTTTTACACAACTCCCCCCATGCATTTGAGCTGTCAATAGGCCGTTCTCCCTCTTCACCATTACTTCATTACACACAGAAATCACAATTGCGTGATGCATCAAATGAACAAATCCACATGAGCCGTGACGTAGGTTCAAATCCTCGTCACGGCCCTTGTGGATTTGTTCACTGCATTTTGCATTACTAATGTAAATAATGTACTAGATCCTGGAGCACAGAGAAAATGTAAGATAATAGGGTGAGGAAAATACAGTATATGAATAAGGGGAGCAACAATAGGTATGAAAGTACTGTACTTACACTACATGAAAGATTAAAATATGTTATAATTTGATACCATTGTAAACAAAAAAAATTTATCCATATTTTGTTATAATTTTACAATATAGAATTCATATTTTTAAGCCTTATAACATGTATATATTTTAATTTCTAACTATAATAATTATAGTTACATATTATTCTTTTGAACATAAATACTTTTGAAGCAAATATTGGTAAATTCAAGCAATACCAGACAGCACTAAAAAACTTTATAAAAATGTACAAACTTTAAAAGTACATGTAATTTGTTGTAATATACAGTATTAGTAAATAAAGCATTAGTATCAGCTTACCAAACCAAGCTATATTCATGACAACAATTACATGTACAAATCTGTGTTTCCAAGCAAGCCTCACAAATAATATAATATGAAGGACTGTAATCAAAATAGAGCATAAAGCATTTAACAGAATATTCACAAACCTAACATCAATTAACAAATATAATACAATAAAATCAAATTTAATGGCATAATATTTGTTTATTTTTAAATAAATAATCTTTAAATAATAAATATTTTAATTAACCAATGTACACTGAAGACTATAATAACAATTTAAAATATTATTGTAAGAAAACAAGCTAAGTTATGTACAGTATTGGTAGATTAAACTAAACACTGGTTAACAACTGACTACGTAGACCATGTATTGGTAGAGTTAATTAAACACGGGTTAACAGCTGACTACATACACTACAGGTTTTGGTAAACTAAACACAGGTTAACAAGTGACTATATACACCACAGGTGTTGGTAAACTATATACTGACTAACAACTGCATTCATACACCAGAGGTGTTTGTAAGGTAAGCTAAACACTGGTTAACTGATCACATACACCACAGGTGTTGGTAGTGTATACTCAACACTGATTAACAACTGTGTACATACACCACAGGTGATGGTAGACTAAACACTAGTTACCATCTGACTACTATATAGCAGAGGTGCTGGTAGAGTATACTAGACATTGGTTAACATATCACTATGTACACCACAATATACCAACAACCCAACTGGTATTGCTTGAACAGGTAAGATTGCCTAGGTTAATAAATAACTAAAAGAAATCGGTCAATAAATTGGAGTCTCATAAACCAATAACAAAGAAAAAATAATACAGTATTTTACTCAAATTATTAATTTGTGGTTATATTTTGACTGATAATGCCAATCAAACAGAACAGATGATTATTTGGACATTACAGTAATATACTGGCAACCGACTAAAGGTATTTTTCTGATTATCTTCCTGCACAAAATATTCTATTTACACATTACTAAAGCAAGTACCTGTATACCCATTGTGAATCAGCTATATTTGATACTCAGAATTGAATTAACCATAGGAAGCAAAAGGTGTCTAGAAAAAATATATGCCTCATCATAAGAGATCTAGTGGGTTTTTGGTCTGGTGCCCGGTTTGCGGGGTGGAATATTGCTGGCATGGTGCATAAGTAAGAGTCCGCTGATGATCAAAACAGTCCCCATCCACCAAAGGCTTCTAACAACCTCACCAAATAACACCTGACCTAGAATGGCCTGAAAATATAAACATCAATAAATTCAAGAATAAAAATTACGTTTCTCTGTGATTAAATTCTAGAACAATATACAGTATTAAAAATTTCTCCTAACACATACCTTATAAAATAAAATTCTATGGGAAAACATACAACACTGTAGTATTTGAATAAGGGTGAAGGAAAGACCTTCATTCCTTCATTGAATAAAATGAAGGTCTTTCTGCACATACCGTATGCAATGAAATTCTTTCATTGTATACACTACCTTGAAAAAGGGGGTAGGTTACATCCAAAAAACCAGCATTGAATGTAATGAAACACCATTTTCTGGGCGAGTCCTGGAGGCTCCCCGGAGCTATCCAGGCTGAATGGATATGTATAACTTTCTGGCATCAGTTAATGCATGGAGTTCTTGCCTACCGGGGACCACGAGTCAGAACCTGGCCCCCTCTAGAGGCACGAGGAGCAATGGCCTATAGTGACCCCCCTTTATTATTGGGAGCATTCTATGTCTGCCATCGACTGGGATAGGCACCCAGAAAGGTAGACGCCCCAAAACAAATCTCTATTCTGGTAAAACTACTGCGACCGAAGACCGAACAAGTGGACAGAACTCCCCAAACGAAAACTAGCAACGAGCATGACATCATCACATTGCCAGGCTGCAGTCTGCGCAACCCCCCCCCCATCCCCGGGAGAGGGAAGGGGCAGCCCCAGACCCAAACTGCCGGCGACCCAACCTATAGTTCTTAGGCTCGATGTCAAAAACGCGAAAAACATCGGCGACCAGAGGGGAGGGAGGGAAACCGGGGAGCCTCCGGGACTCACCCAGAAAATGGCGTTTCATTACATTCGACACTGATTTTCCTGGGGAGCCCCGTCAGCTCCCCGGAGCTAAGTACCCAAAGATAAGGAAAAAACAGGGACTTTCCCAGGAGGCGGTCCGTCCTCGCTCCTCAATACGAAGTCGAAACAACTGGCTGCAACCGCCGACGCAATGCAACGCAAGCCCGCCTAGGTCCAGGAACATGCAACAGGTAGCGAGCGGTCAGGATCCTGTTCGACCTCCAAAAACCCCGGACCAGAATGTCCACCCAAGACGTTGCCAAAGACTGCAGCCAAGGCAGCAAACTTACGAACGTCGTGGGCCCGGGGATAGAACACAGGTTGGCTAGATTTAATAACCCTGTGGACAACCCGAGAGACCTGAGCCCGGGAACAGGGAAGAAGGGAAACCGGGTCAACCCGGAGCACATCCCCCGCAACTGAAGCCATGGCGTGCAAATAACAGCGGAGAGCCCCAACCGGACACAACACATGATGCACCCCCAGCCTAACTAACCAAGCATCAGCAACCAAAGGTCCCCTCCGGAAGGCAGCCATCTCATTATTCGCCAGGTCATCTCATAGTTTCTATCTTCCTATCTTTATCTTCCTCAGAATTTTTTGCATCAGCAAACACTAAGAAAACAAGTCTATGCGCTCTGTATGATCATTTACATATATCAGAAACAGGATGGGTCCAAGTACAGAGCCCTGCAGAACTCCGTTGGTGACATCTCGCCACTCTGAGGTCTCCCCACTTCACAGTAACTAACTGTTCTCTGTTGCTTACATACTCCCTTATCCACTGGAGCACCTTGCCTGTTATTCCTGCCTGTTTCTCCAACTTCTGTACTAGCCTTTTATTGGGGTACTGTGTAATACCTTTTAATGGCCTACTGACAGTAGAAGAAAATGCAGTCTGCCAACCCGTATCTTTCTTGCCTAATTTTTGTAGCCTGGTCATAGGATTCTATTGAACCTGTGAGGCATGATTTACCATCCCTGAACCTATGCTAGTGGTGTGTTACAAAACTATTTCTCTCTGTATGTTCTACAAGGTTTTCCTCACCATCATCATCTTCACCTTACTTGGTATACAAGTTAAGGAATCTGGCTTGTAGTTCAGTGTCTCTTGCCTGTTGCCTTTTTTTGTATACAGTATTGGGACTACATTAGCTGTCTTCAACTTATGGGCAAGTCTCCTGTTTCCAGTGACCTGTTATACACCATAAAGAGTGGCACACATACTGCTTCTGCACTCTCTTTTAGTATTCATGCTGAGATTCTGTCAGGCACAACAGCCTTTGCCACATCCAACTCCAACACAATCCTTTTAATTAACCTCATCTCTGGTAAGCTCAAATTCCTGCCAAGGAATATACCAAGGTTGCTTGGTATACCACTACAGTACCACCACCTCTCAGTACAGAGACTTCTCCTTGTTCTTTTGTGAAGACCTCCTGGTATCTCTTCTTGAGTTCTTCACACACCATCTTGTCATTCTGTGTGTATCTGTTTTCCCCATTTCTCAGTTTCATCACTTGTTCCTTCACTGATGTTTTCCTCCTGATGTGGTTGTGGAGCAGTTTTGTTTAGATATTGGCTTTATTGCAATGTCATTTTCAAACTGACTCTCCGCTTCTTTCCTTACACTTAGGTACTTGTGACAATATCGATGCCATCTGTAGAGTGAGGTGTGATGATATCCACGCCATCTGTGGAGTGAGGTGTGACAATATCCAAGCCATCTGTGGAGCACTATCAACTACAATTCGTTTAAGAGGTGAGTCGACGACAACGCCCTCTGTTGAGGGAGGTGACAATGTCAACACCATTTGTTGAGTGCATCCGACCACATTTTCTGTTCCTTGGTGAAAGGCTGTCATCATATTTTATCCGTGTGTAGTTTCTGTATTTCTAATGACGTTTTTAGTCCACAGAAGTGATGTGGAGAGTATCGTGGTCAGCAGGAATCAGTTCACCCAGGGCAGTCCTGAACTCAAGACATGTTCCAGCGAGAACAAGTGGACGCGTTGGTATAGACAATGATTTGTCTCTAATACTCGTGAAATATTTGTGATTGGACCGATGTACCCGGGAAATGTCAAGTTGAGTTACGAGACTGAAGTGCGATCTGTGGATGTGAACGTGTATGTGGTGGACTATGGTGTGTGACGCGCCATGGGAGGACTATGGTGTGTCATGTGTCATGGGAGGGCTATGGTGTGTGACGCGCCGTGGGAGGACTGGGTGGAGGGTGTTGGCTTTTGGTCTCCTTGCTCCTGGTCCCATGTTTTGTGGGATTTTCGGGTTTTACCTCTTGAACAACAATGAAACGGTTGGTCTTCCCTCCCACTTCCTGCTTCAGGGCTGTTGGGTCTTCCTCCCAGCTATTTGCAGTCCTTGTTTGTCGTCACACCTCTTCTTGGATCGGTTCCGGGTTACTCGTTGGTTGGTCGAGCAGTTGGACGGAAGCCAGATATTTGCCCGAGTGGTGTTTTTCATGGGCTGGGTTTTGCACCGAATGCTTGGCTGGTTCCATTGGTTTTGCCTGTTTCACCAGGCACTGATGTGCAAAATTGCACACCAGTGAACAGTCATATGCAGTCATATGGTAGTCCCAACATGGACATTTTTCTTCAGCGCTGCTTCTATCAGCCCAGTGACGTATCTTGCTGGTTTGCCCTTCTCTGTTCAATGCATCTGGAGGTTCTGCCACAGGTCGTTTACCATTTGCGGGGCATACAGGTGGTTGGTTATTAGTGGCCCACTTACATCTCTCCTCATGGCAGCAGTATGATGTTGCCTGCTGCCCATTATGTCTCTTTTGCCCCCTTCACCTTCTCTTATAGTCATCTGTTCCAGAGTTCTTTATAAGTGTGTCTATTTATTTATCGGTTTCCTTCTGCTGATACTATCGCCTCTTATTGTTCAACCAGGGTTGAATGTAATGAAATCCCCCTTTCTGGTAAAGCTTCGGTGGCTCCCTTCCTCACTACCTGGTTCATCGGCGCATTATACATCAGCTCTTGACTGACTATTGAAGGTGATTGTGAGCTGGGGCTGCGGGCCAATTGATGATGGCTAGTGGTACTAATCTTACAGGGATTGAGCTACTTTAAAGTGACCAACTGTTTAGTCAAAATTATTTGCAGAGTTGTTTGGCAATTTCAGTGCTTCGTTTTCTATGAACCTTACAGTTGTCTGTAAAACTTCACTGACATTCTGGTTGCCCTCACAGTGAGGGGTGACAGTAATAGTCCCCTGCTCTCAGCGCCTCTGTGAGAGGCCAGGTTCTGGCTCTGATTCCCAATAGGCCAACAGGACTCCTGTGACCTAATAGTGAGGAGCTATCTCAGCTAGAAAATTTCAGGGAGCCATCAGGGCTCTTCTAGAAAAAGAGGAATTTCATTACTTTCAACACTGGGTTTTTCCTCAGTTTTTGGTCAATGCCTGATTCTCATGCTTCTTTCACTGTTATAAGTAAACCAGATTCTGTTTCTGGCTTTTAGAAAAGCCAGTACAAAATCAGAACCCTAGTAACTTTTGGGTGCATCTGTGGTACCAGAGCCTAATGCACTGATAAGCTAATGAGGAACATGCTCTAAAAACAATAATGACAGAATTTTAATCCATTCTAAATATAGAGGCTTGTAAGCTTAATCAATGGTTAACTATACCTATAATATACATTGTTTTTTTTACTTATCAGTTTATCAGATTTATCAGAACTTTTAATCCGTACTGTACACATTTTGACATGTATGGAAAAATATCTTACCGTAAAAAAGAAGTTAGCTGCTGTATTGGTGATGGTGGCCTCTAAAGAAGTAGTGGAAAAGCGAAGAGCTTTGGTAAAGGTAGTCCACATGACACAATTTACACCAACCATTAAGGCAAAGAATAACACCCTCAGCACTGCAGCATACTGAAAGTTTCAAAATCATGAAATACAAAATGCTATAATGTACTAGTATGTGTCAAAGAATTTTCACATTATAGGCTGTTTTACAGAGGATAAGTATTTTACAGTAAGCCTACATACATACAGTCACTTTTTGGCTTTATAAAAGGCCTTTTAACATAAGAATTTCTATGCATGGTAAAAATTCATAAGTCGTTTTGAAATGACCAACAATTTGTTTTATGAAAGATTAAGTAAAACTATCTTCCTAACCCCTAAAGTATGGCTATAGATAAAGAAGCATGTCTGCCAATGCGCAAAAAATACAACATTAACAAATAATGGATGTGGTCCTGGCTCCCGAGGACGCGGGTTCTGCTGTTTTGGAGGGGTGCTTCGGCAGGGGAAGATGCCTGCCGCACCTGTGTGTGTCGGCGACTGTAGTTCTGATGCTTTCATCCCTTTGCACAAGCGTGCACAACAAGATTCTGAGGCTGTTTCCTTGGATGATGTGGACAGTGCGGGCGATGTGGCCTCTGTGGACTCGTTGGACAGTGTGGGTGTGAACCGTGTGGATGTGACAATGGTGGGGCTTGGTGGGAGTGATGTGGTGCAGCCTGTCTCGAAGCGTTCGCAGCAGGCTCGGATGGTCCCCCTTCTTCTTGGTGTGCCTTGGGAGGAGGTAGGGGAGTATGGTGCTTTGGCGTCCCCCTGCCGTAGATGATAGGGTTGCGAGGGGCTCCGAGTTGCTTCATGTGCCTCACCCTGCGCCTCCTGCTGTTGGATCCCCACAGGGAGGGGGGGGGGTTGCCCCTGATGATCGGGACCTAGTCGTGGTGCCAAGGAAAGATGTGCGCCGGGGAGCCTTGGCTCCTGTACCCAGTGGCGGGGTCGATACCGCACCTGCGTCCCCCTGCTGTTCCCCCTCCTTCGATGCCCTTGGTCTGGGGGTATTCTTGTCCCGGCTGCCGGGGTCGTGACCTGTGAAGGTCCGGTGATGGGCCCTTATGAGGATGCCTTCGATCCTGTGGTGCTCTTCCACCATCTGGGTGCCGCGGGTGAAGGAGTTTGTTTATGGGGTGCCGGATAGGATGTCTCAGCCGAAGGCGCCACCTGGTGGCCAGATGTCCTTTGACATGTGGATGATTTGGGAAGTATACTGCTTGCACTTTCCGATATACAAGTTCCCAGAAAAATATTAGTAGACGTCTTGCGCACAACGCTACGCCATGGATCAGCTGACGCCATAAACTCGACATCCCATCCAACGGTGTGGCACGTCTTCCTCTACCATCCACCTCTGTTTTAGTCGCCGCTTCTGTATCTACAGCACGACGCAAGTAGCCCTTTTGACATTCTTCTCCTCACCATCAACGTGTCTCCCAACATCTGTCCTCATGCAGTCATCGGGGGGGGGTCAGCCCTTCATGCAAACTGCACCTACTCTCAAGAACAGCAACAACTTGCTGGTCGAGGGAGAGGGAGCTGCCAACAGGCTGGGTTCGGGCTGCCTGGTGGTGATAATTGGTACTAATGAGTTTTGAGCTAATTTGAATGAATCCCTTGTTCTGTGTGAATCATTTGGCTGTTTCAAGGCTTCATTTTTTGTGAACCTTCCAGTTATCTGTAAAGTTTTGCTGACTTTCTGGATGCTTTCCAGAATTGTTATTCGCTCCCTACACCTCTGTGAGGGGGCTTAGGTTCAGTCTCTGGTCCCCCTAATAGGCCCAACAGAAATTTTGCAACTAATGTGACTTTTTAATACTGTATAATAATAATTCATTTTGTCGGGGACAGACAGCCAGTATATAAAATACATATTGGGCCTATATTGAGCCTCCCTCCTCCCCCCGGGTCAAATTACTAACCCTCCCCTGGATACAACCCCACAACAAGCTGACTAACTCATGGGTACCTATTTACTGCTAGATGGGCAGCAGAATTAGACGATAGAAAACGTGTCCAACCATTTCTGTCCCACCCAGAATTCTTGATTGTGGGTTGAGAATGAACCCTACTGTACTACCAGGACCCTATGTTTTAGTATGAAGCAATCTCAGCAATATAGTTTCAGAGGAGTCACGAGGGGGATGGTCTCCCCTAGAAAATGCCTCTTTCTGGGTCCCTGAAGGCTCCATGTAGCTAACCACCTGGAGCACTCTACACAGATGTCCTACCAGGCATAAAAAGCCCACTGGAGACCAGATGACAAAACCAGGTCCCCTTATAGAGTCATAAGAAGTTGGTGAATTCTAGAAAACACTAAGAGAATCAGCCATCAAAAAGGTAGAGCAAAACAAAATGGTTGACACCAAGTAAAATATGAAGAACTCTGACAACTAAGAACACAACAGTTAAATCATTACTCCATCAGATGCACCCCCCTCCATGCCAGGTGGTAACCCGGTAATTCCAGGTCTGACCAACGTCTACACATTAGTCATGAGCTGATTGCAAGCAACGAGGCACCTAAAAGAGAGAAGAAGGGTTCAGGGATCACCGAGATACCCACCAGAAAGAGGCTTTTTATTACATTCACTGCTGGATTTGGGGGAGGGATACCTCAACGGCTCTCTATAGCTCCCTCACCACAGAAAATGAAAGCAAAATGAATCAAAGAAGTCTTGACAAGTACTTTATAAAATTAGATTTTGTGTTTGAACTATTTTTGTGTGAAAATGAAGCTGAATACGTGTAGCACCTGAAAGTGTATTAAATAAAAACATATCCACCGTTTTATTAACACTTTGTAATAAATACAAAAATTCATTTTTTATCAAGTCAATGTGTTTTTACCTACCTGATCACATATCTTGATGATATTGTTTATATCTGTAATCTTTTCCTCTTTATGAAACATGAGAAGGGCACTTTCACAAAGATCTTGAGCTTCTGTACTGGCCATAGCATACTTCCCACAAAGGCTTGCCAGTGCAGCCAATAGCCCAGACATTACTGCGTACATCTGTCCACGCATCACCGAGCCACATGTGGGATGTAATTTATTACCTGTTAATAGATATGATAAATTAATATTTTAACAAAATTACAGTTATAATAATAATTTTATAATACCTGTATATCCTTACCCCACAGGAAATATGACTGATCTTATAAAAAATAACCCATTATTTCATTTATTGAAAGTATACTGTACTGTATTATCAATTACATACAATGAACATAAAGCAGATTCTTCATTACATAATAATGTTTAACCATTATTTAATGGGGGTAACACTTAAAAATAAACAAGGAATAAGAAAGGACAAGAGTAAACAATTGAATAAATGAAATGCAATACTTATGACAGCGAAGAAAGGACATAATTAAAAATAAATAACTAAGAAACAGTAACACAAAAATATATTATGAGGCAAAAATTAGTGAAATGATAAATGATTCTTCAGTCATTAGTTACAACGAAGTTACTTCCATTATTAGTTACTTCATCAAAGGGTAGGATGTAACACAAACAAGGAGCAAAGGATACAAACAAGCTACAATGTAGGACAGAAAACTGATGTTTTTTTCACCCACAAGGTTATAAACCCATGGAACAGCCTACCCGTCAAAGCCGTAATGCCAAAATTGTGCTGCAATTTAAGATCCAAACAGATAAAGTCATCAGGACAAATGGGTGGACCTTTGAAAAGCTTCCTGTCCCCGTAGAGGCCACTAGAGGTGGTGGCCCTCAGGTCAATTTAAATATTTATTTCACAAATAGTCGAGTTTTAATGTTTTTTGTAAGTTGCACGGGTAGGAGGAGTGGAGTATGTAAGGCGTGCAGGCGGCTCTGGTTGTTGTGAGGGCTCATAGTGATGCGGCGAGCCATGGCCAGGAGTGGTGGTGGTGCAGGCAGTAGTGTGTGAAGGTACTAGGGTGAGTGAGAGCGTGCAGGAAGGAGCAGAGTACAGGGAGCCTGGCCGCCTCACCTGCCTTGTTGTCCTCATCAGCTGACGCCGCCCCACACTGTGCACACCCTGCACACTGTCGGGCGCACCCGTCTCCGGCTTGCACACTGTCGGGCGCAAGGCCACTCATAGTCGAAAGTGGAAGAGCTCACTTAGTTTCTTTTATATATTATATATTTAAGGCGCATATGTTAAAGTCATCGTACAATGTGTCAATACCCACGTGTCGACACATGTCAACCCGAGTAAATGCAAAGTAATGAAACTAAACGGTGGAAACAGGAGGCCAGACACAGGATACAGAATAGGAGATGAAGTACTTAATTATGTGCGATTTCAACCATGGAAAGCTAGACTGGGAGAATGGGGACCCACATGGTGGTGCAGATACATGGAGAGCTAAACTCTTGGAAGTGGCAACAAGGAACTTTCTAAGCCAGCATGTCAGGAAAGCCACAAGAGTGAGAGGCAATGATGAACCAGCTGGACTCGACTTGATATTCACCCTGAATGAGTCAGAAATAAGGGAAGTCAAAGTTGAAGCCCCCATAGGAATGAGTGTACAGTGTACTGGCTTTTGAGTACTTGGTGGAGGTAGGGATAACCTATCCAAGGATGGGCGCATAGTGTTTCGGGCAGGTCCTTAATCCTAATTTTCTCCGAAATACAGCTGACGACCCGTAAATTGTTTAACAACCGTATCCATTCACTTTCAGCGCCACCCAGTGGCTACAGTTAAGGATTGGCGCCCAGTCAATCCTCCTCAGTAAGTTACGAACCTAGGCCAAAGCGCCTGCGAAGCGCCGGGCGAGTGCTTTACCACTGTCGAGTCCGAATTTGTACAGGTTAAGACACCCATTCGGGCGAGCACAGAAGTGGGTAAAGCTGAAGAGCAGCCGGTGAGAGGAAGCGCTGAAGTTGTAGAGAAAGAGCCAGGCCTTAACCCAGCTGCATACCAGGGGGTGACTGTGCTAATGAACTTCATGGTGGTGAGGCGAGAGGAGGGGTCTTCAAGGGCGGCTTGTGGCGGTTCTTCTGGAGCTGGAGATGAAGTCTTGATTCTTGGTCGACGTTCTAAACGAGCATAGCTAGGTCCCTACCTCCTAAAGAGGGGATTGTAGTTTTTCCACCTCTTGGGCAAGAGGTGATCATGATGCTAGTTCTTCGTCTTGTTTTTTTCTTTGTGTGTACCGTACTGCGTGTTGGCATGGCAAGTCGTTCGTGGTCGTTGAAGAGGCTTGCGGGTTGTGGGTGTCGTTTCGTTGGTGTGGAGGTGTACCTCCGATGTGGATTTCCTCGTCCTAGTTTGAAGTCTTCAGAGGGAGGTGGCTTGGGCTTGGGTAGTCCTGTCCACGGGCAAGCAGAGTGCAGCCTGTGTGGGAGGGGTATTCAGCCTGTGTGGGAGGGGTATTCAGCCTGTGTGGGAGGGGTGTGCAGCGTATGTGTGGGGTTGGAGGGCCGGGTTGAATAGACTCGGTTGTCGTTCCCACTATTGCGTTGGTAGCCAGTGGGTTGGCAGCACAAGTCTCTGCTTGTGCGGCCGGTGCTGTGGGTGTTGTTGGAGTCTGGGTAGACGTCGATCTTGTAGAGGCGGAGAGTAACTCTTCCGGGGCGATGATAGTGTCTAGACCGTTGGCGACATACAGCAAGTTAAGGATCGTGTAGAACCGGTGATGGTCTTCCCCAGCAAGTCTCTCTGCGAGCCTGATGAGGCCTGGGATGATTCCTTCTTTGGCAGGGGGAGTTTTGGGGGCATGGGCTGACTGGCCAGTACTGCCCCAGTGGCAGGGGGTGGAGTGTTTGATGGATGGAGCCTCCTCCTCCAGGTAAGACGGGGAAGGCTTCCGGGTTGCTGGCGGGTGTTTCGATGTTGGTGGTGTCGGCGGCGGAGGCGGCTGGTTCAGCTGTCTTCGCCTTGGCCATTTGTTTGATTACCTCTTGTCTTCGTGGGCAGCGATGGGAAATTGCCGGATAGTCAACTTGGCAGAGCAGGCAGCACGTGGTGTCTGACTCACAGCTCGTGAAGTGGTGATGTTGGGCGCAGAGACTGCACCTCTGCGTGGGATGTTGACATTTGCTAGCGGGGTGAGGATATTCATAGCATCTAAAACACTGCTGGATGTCGTATACCCGTTCCACTGCGCCACGGGTACTGCTTAAGTGGTGACTAATTAAGTTAAGCGCCGCTCATGCTTAGGCTTCCTCCTTCCGCCTTCTTTTCTCAGTCTGGCGCACACGTTCCTGAACCTACTAGGCTCTATCACGTAATAATAATAATAATAATAATAATAATAATAATAATAATAATAATAATATATAATAATATTTCATTGTGTTGCGGGACAGGAAGCCAGAGTGTATTCATTCACGTTAGGCTATTATCGTGGTTCCCCCCCCACCCCACCCCAAGGTCGAATTACTGACCCCGCCCAGGATGCAACCACCCAACAAAAAGCTGTCTAACTACTGGGTACCTACTTATGATGGTGAAAGGAAATGGGCTCAACCATTTCAGTCCGATCCGGGATTCGAACCCGGAATTCTTGATTAAGAACGAGAACGAGCCCGACTGTACTACCGGGAACCTTTATAATAATATTATTATTCAGAGAGAGTAATCACACTAACGTGATGCATCAATGAGAAAATCCGTAGGAGCCGTGATGAGGATTCGAACTTTCGAAGGATTCGATTCGATGAGGATTGATATATGGGGGTGGGTGTTCCCACGCACACGTCCCACGACAATTACGCCATGACATGGTCAAAAGTATCAGCAACCTAGAGTTCTACTGAACAAACGAGGGTTTTCTGAGGCTTCCACTGAAGCCAGGCCAGGATTTTCACACATCCCCCCCCCATCACTCTGGCTCTGTCACCCAGGAATGTTCCACCTCTGACGCCCCTCTTACAATACACATAAAGTAATCTCACTAACGTGATTTATCAGTGAGATAATCCGTAGGAGCCGTGATGAGGATTCGAACCTTGTCTTTTCAAAGTTGTTAGGCCGTGTGCGTGGGAACACCCACCGCATAAGTTCGAATCCACATCACGGCTCCTACGGATTGTCTCAATATCATTATTATTATGATTAAAACAAAAATCACACAGAAATCCCATTAACGTGATATATATTAATGAGAAAATCCACTGGTACTATAGGTGGGCTCGAACCTTCGACCCTGGCATTGCCAGTCGTATACTCTACCACTAGACCACCGCTGACGTAAAAAAAAAAAAAATTAAACCGGATTTCTACTGAAATCACAGGAGGTTTGGAGGCCCTTACTGAAGCCAGTGCAAGTGTTTACGTGTGACCCACAAGCACTCGGGTGGAAGGGCAGAGTGGTTCTACACCTTACGCCACAACTTCAGAAACACTCATAATGTGTTTCACACTAACATTAATAAACACATTTAACATCATGTTAATGTGATTTCTGTGTGTTTCTGAAGTTGACCCACTAACACTCTAGTGGCCAAAATGAGGTCAGGAAGCCGGTGGATTGTCAAAGGTCCCCCCATTTGTTCTGATGATTTTTTCAAGTAAGATTTTAAAGTTCAGCAGAGTTTACGGCTATGGCGGGTATGCGGTTCCATGGGCTTATAACTCTGTGGGTGAACAAGCATCTCCTGTTCTCAGTCCCACATTGTGGCTTGTTGAGCTTGAAACCCTTACTCCTTGTCTACGTTACATCTGACCTTTTGAAGAAGTCCGGATCAACATCCTCCAAACTGTTCAGTATTTTGAACGTTTCGATAAGATCAGCAATATCATGTCTGGTTTGCATTGTTGTTAGCCCTGTGGGCCTCAACCTGTTCTGGTGTGAGAGCTGACTTAGTTCTTAATTATTTTTGTTGCCCGGTATTAAACATTCTACAATGAAGCTTTGTCTTTCTGAAGATGAGATATCCATGCCTGGATGTAATAATCCAGGTGGGGGCGCACCAGAGATCTATACAATTGAATAACAACCTTCTTTTCCTTAATTATTAAAATCAAAAGGTATGCTTAATTATTTCTGGGGTTTGGTTAGCTTTTTTTTTACTGCCGCTCCCACTTATTGTGCAACTTTCAGTGAATGATGGATTCTGACTCTAAGGTTCTTTTCGTGATCAATCTGCTGCAAGGCAACATTCATCTGTTAATTTGGTAGATGTAACGTGGGTTGTTATGCCCTACATGCAAGGTCTTGCATTTATCGATATTGAATATCATTTCCCAGTCTTCTGACCATTTGTGGTCATGTGTTTTTTGAGGCTTCTTTGTAAGGCCTCAAAAAAAAAACACTTCCCACTTTACCATAAATCTGTCATCTGCAAATTTGATGAAGTGGCATGTAATATTCATATCTATGTCACTGATGTATATAATAAAAAGGGTTGGCCCCAATATGGACCCTTGTGGCACCCCACTTACCACATTTCGCCAGTCAAATTCCTTCCCATTTAGCACGACCCTTTGTTTTCTTTGTTTTATCCATTCTTTGTTTTATCCATTTTACCTATCATTTATTCCGTGTGCCTGTAGTTTCCTTGCTAATCTTTCACGTGCAGGTATCTTGTCAAAAGCTTTAGCAAAGTCCAGCCGGAAGTCTTTTGTATGAATAGCCAGTTACCGTTTTCCAAAAATGTGAGCAAGTTTGTAAAGCAAGATGTATTTTTAACAAACCCATAGTGCGTTGTTTTTATACAATTGTTTTCTCTGAGATGTGTGATTCCCTCCCTTAGGATTCTCTCCGTGAGCTTGCTGGTGTGTGATGTCAAGCTGATCGGACGGTAGTTTTCTCCCGAGCTCTTTCTGCCGTTTTGGAAAATTGAGGCAACATTTGCATATTCGCAGTCTAAGGGAACTATCCTTTGGTTCATAGATTTTTCTGAAAAGTTTCAGCGTTAGGCATAGTGCATCTGCCAGTTCGTTTAAGACTTTGAATTGAATTCCACGAAGCTTTTGAGTCTTTTAGTTTGTCAATGCACTTCCAGATTGTGGCGCACATCTTGGTACATCATTTAATTCGTTCTCCTCGCCATCTTAAAATATTTGTGTGGATAATGGGATGTCATCTAATCTTTCTAGTGTGAACACTGATGTAAAGAGCAGTCCCCGCGGTGTAGGTATAAGACACTTGCCTGGCGTTTCGC